GTAGGCCCAAATTGATTTTAAAAGTAGTTCTAAAAATGAAAGAAAAATATATTATAATTAAAAATATTTATGTTACAAAATCAGTGCTCAATTTTTTTTAATTGTATAATGACTTCAGCCACGAAATATTACTAGTATTTAAATATTTGAAAATATATAAGTTCAGACAAGAGAGAAAAAAATATTGAGAGAGAAGCAGTGGAGGTAGTGAGAGAAAAAATTAGAGAGAGAGTAAGCGAGAAAATAGAGGAAGAGAGAGTGAGAGATGATAATGAAGTATTAATCTCGTTTCAATTTTTAAAATTTAAATAGTAGATAAAATTTTAAAAATATTAAAAATTTCAAATCTAATATTTAGATAATTAAATTCTTTCCGGGTATGCCGTAGACCAATAGGTTTACAGACAACCATTCAAAAACTGACATATAGGTATAATGGTGGTTCCATGCCAAGATGTTCTCTGTTTCTAGTCTCTTGTCTCACAAACGTCGAAACACATAACCCAATAATCTTATCCAAGATAAACTTACATTGGATCAACAAACCCACCCACGATCTGTTTCTCCCCCATTCTCATCCATTGCATATATTCCACTCATATCTAGCTCGCCTCCGTCAGGCATATCGATTCCTTCCTATATTCTTAAAAACACTTCAATACCACTTGAGAGATTGAGGGGAATGAACTGTGAAATGGGTGCCATAGATAGAACCCAGAAGAAAATAATAATATAAGATTGCATTACACAGAGCCAGTGATAATCAATTCAATTTTACATTGAGGTTTCGGAACTGTGGAGTGCGTGGTAAAACCCGCCCTTTGCTTTCACTAAATTCTATCTAATTGCAGTTTGTCTGTATGCATTTGTCTGCTTGTCAGTGAGAATTGTGTGAGTAAATCTTGGGGGGTTTGATTGAGAGAGAGAGAGAGAGAGCCGAAGGAAAAAACTGGAGTGGAGGGAGGAGAGAAAATGGCATACGAACTACAGCTACGTGGCTACTTTTGACTGGCTGCCTGTAAACCAGTGAATTTACGGGTAAGCCGGATAGAATTAAATCCCTATTTACATATTTGAAAACATAAAAACTAATAAATAGGCCGTATAAATGTGTACTTATTGATTATTATTTGATGAAAAAAATTTTTTAATGAAATATAAGTTTGGATATAATACTTAAAGTCAAATAAATTTTTAAAAAGGTACACACAACCAATTATCCATAATAAATAATCTATCAAAAAAAATAAATCCATAAGTACTTTAAGCTCTACAAATAGGCCTTATTAAAATATAAGTCCAATTAAAAAAAATTAGTTGAAAGACCCTATAATTTAAAGAGTAAATTATATTTTACCCCCTTAAACTATTACCTTTATTTTATTTTGTATCCTCAATTATAAAAGTTTTTACATTACACACTAAAGTATCAATTTCGTTTCATATTACTCTAATAGATAACGACAAATTTGAAAATATGTCAAAGAAGAGAGGGAAATCTTAAAGAGCTTCCCGTCAAGTGCATAGTACCATTTTAATTTACCTCTTTTGCAATCAAATAGTTATTGGGAAGACAAAGAAGGCCAGCTAGAGAAATAAAATTTGGAGTTTAGGAAGGGTAAAAGTATTGAAATGTATTTTTCTTATTTTTTGACTTGCATATGTGCAATAAGCAGTTATTGAATAAAAATAAGGAATGTCAATCCTTAATAATTTTGTCATCATCCTATTGTTCTCGAATGGGCCCATTCAACGATGTAAAATATCACAATGTGATAAAAGAATCAATTCAAAAAGTCCCCCAATTCCAATTAGAAATTCGTTGGGATCTTTAGGAACAACCTTTCAAATCGCGAATTTTTATTCATTTACTTATTGGTAGAACATACCACTCATATGTGTATTTATCGTAAAAAAATTAGCAATCGTTATCTATTGGAGTGATATGAAACAAAATTTAATACTTTTATGGTGCAATGTGAAAAATTTTATAATTGAAGGTATAAAGTGATATAAAGGTAATATTTTAAGGGGGTAAAATATAATTTATCCTAATTTATTGGTGTGCAATAATAGTCCAAAGAAAAAATTTAAATTCATGCCAAAATAAAAGAATTGAACTTAAGTAAATTGGACTTATTAATTCAACTGTGAAATTAGAAGGCCTTAAAATTTATTTTTTTACAAAAGGAAAAAAAAAGTAAAAATAAAAATAAAGATACTAAAAAATCTAGTCTTAACCATCAAAAAAATTATGTTTAAATTTATCATCATAATTTTTCAATCATTCTTTCTTTTTTTTACCATTAAACTCAAATATAGTAACCTGATTTGTGTTTATAAAATTTAAAAATTAGATTTATTATTAATATTAAAAATAAAAGACCTCAGTTATTATTTTTATTTTAAGCACCAAAATGTTTCGGGCCGCCCTGCCCTGAATCGAGTAAGACCTATATTTTACAATTAAGCCCCTCATTCAATCGAATAAATGATTTATTATTAAAAAAAAATATAAATATAATGAGAGACGTGGATCTCATACCTGTCAGGCCCCCCTAATTGTTTTGCCGAATCTTTACTCGATAATAATTTAGTAGTACAATTAACTTTTAGCATAAATCATTACAAGTTAGCCCCACAAGGCGACAGGAGTTGGTGGCAGATCACACCTTGGACAAAATACAAATCTTAAGCCACGGATCGCAGGCTTATCCAAATTACGCCAAACAAGCCCCGACGCCGCGAAATGGAATGAGTGGTGGCGTCGCATTGCTTATTACCACCGTTGTTATTGTGATATAATTTTAGNCGAGCCCTGACGCCGCGAAATGGAATGAGTGGTGGCGTCACATTGCTTATTACCACCATTGTTATTGTGATATAATTTTAGAACATAATTAAAATTCTAAAATAGTACACGTGTTGAATGTGATTGAAGAAAATCTTATTTTAATTTTAAAAAATATTAAAATAGAGAGAAATTTTTTAAAATACTTTATTCCGTAATTTGTTTGTTATATACAGATATATAGAAGATGATTAATCTAACTGTCAACAGATTGGAGTTGGGCACTCCAGAGTAAACAATCAAAACAAAAAAAGAATGAAGTGAAAATAGAAGGTAAGTCTAGATGAACTTATAATAACTTAAATTTTAGAAGAAAATTTATTTGGAAATAAGTCCACGTTTAAACTTATATATAGGTACTTAAGTCCACTTATTTTTTAAATCTTAAAATTACCCCTAACGGTATTAATATTGTCCAGTTATAGAAAGTCACATAGGTCAAATCATTAAGAAATATATGAAAATTCTTAATTGGGTTATATATGGAAACCGTTTATTAAATATTATGATAATTAACAAAATTTTTATATGAAAGTTATATATTCTGATAATTATTTACGGTAGCTTGATATACAAATAAAACATTGGTCTATTAAGTCAAAATCAGATCACAAACTTTTCTTAACAATTCAAAAATTTCTTAACATTAGTGTTACTGTAGTGACACTAATGTTACTATAGTGACACGAATGAGATTGTTTTCCTTAAAATACTCAATACCCAAAATAAAGAATTCCATCATTTCAGATAGTAATACAAATCGAATCCCAATTTCGAATTTACTCTTCATGTTTACTATGTAATCCATTAACAAAGTTACAGTTGATTCTATGCATTCAAAACATTTTCACAACTTTGGGATTCAGAAATAGAGTTAAGTTATGTGATTTGGCACGAAAGTTGATGTTTATTGTAGGATTTTAAAAAACTTCTACATAATATATAGTTTAAACTGTCCGTTTTTTTATATTTCTAATTTCTAATTTAAAATTTGAGATTCATTATTACTAAATTAATGTGTTATATAATTCAATTTTGTTATTTTTTTTTGTTGTGCAAGACATTCGAAATATTTTGATTGTATTTTTGTGAAATAAATCATGTTATTGTGTGATAGCTAAAAAATAAATTTCAGAATTTCAATGTCTTGATATTCTTGATTGGTATTGAGTGTCCTAATTAAACTGTCAACGGTGTGTTACTATTAGAAATTTTGTAAATTTTCAATTTGTGAATCATATTTTCACTATAAACTTTCAAAAATTAATATTACTGTGAAAACCCCATTGTCTTGTATTTTGTAAAAATTGATGTGATACTGAGCATAAATCTTTGATGTTACTGTGAAAATTAAATGTGTATGTTATATAATATACGTCTAAAGGTTTGTAATTAGTAGTGTAAGTAAAAATTAGGATAGAGTTTGTGTTACTATTTGAAATGATGAAATTCTTCATTTTAGATATTGAGTTTTTGAAAGAAAATAATTTCATTCATGTTACTATAGTAACATTCTTGTCATTATAGTAACATTTGTGTCACTATAGTAAGAAAATTTTGAATTATTAAGAAAATTTTGTGATCTGATTTTGACTTAATAGACCAAGAATTTATTCGTACATCAAGCTTACATATATAACTATTAGAATATATAACTTTCATATAACACTTCTGTTAATTATTATAATATTTAATAAACGATTTCTATATATAACTCAATTAAGAGTTTTTATATATACTTCAATGATGTAACATATGTAAAGGAGGCAATAAATCAGATATCGGTTATTGCTTTTTCAAAAGGTGGGGGTACAATAATAAATTTGACAAAAAATAGACTTAAAACCAAATAAATTTTTTTATTCTGATTTATCTCCAATTAAGTCCATACAAATTTTACAAGAATGAAGCGGAAACTATCGATCTAATAATTTGAATACATACTTCTGGTTTTTCAATTCGGTAAATAAACCCAACCTAATTCCAGTTTTTTATTGGAACCGAGAGACAGGTCTTTTCAATTTGAAAAAACACAAAAAATTCCAAAAATGTATAACCGCATTTTCAAGTTTCAACAACCCCCACCCTCCTGTCTCCCTCCTTATTTCTCCGTTTCAATACAACTTTCAAGCAGACCCACCAACCCCCTCCTTTCTTCTTTATCTTCTTCTCTCTTTACAATTCTCTGGGTGGAAAATTCTCCTTTATCCAGGTAACAGTTGTAGGAAGTATCACGTATATCTTCTTTAGTTTCTGATTGAAAGTACCGATTTTGTCATCCATTTGCGTTTTACACTCCAATCTTGGTTAGACGTCGTATCACTGGTTACGATAGATTTATATCAATCAATAATGCTGGTAACTCATTATCTGGAGATTGAGTTCAGTTGAAGGACTGATACTTGATGATCTTTTGTTGCTGCTCATAAATGCCAACTGTTTGTTTTCATTATTTCTATGCACGAGTAATTTCCTTACTTTGACGGTATAAATTCCATATTTCTTTTTCTTTTCTTTTTTGGTATGGGGTAGAAGCTATCTACACAAATAATTATAGATTTCCCCATTTAGTTTTGGGCAGTACTAGATTAAGTTTGATAGCTAACCCATTTCTTATTTTTCTTCCTTTTTCTTTGTTTTTTTTTTTTGGAAAAAAACTTGTTAATTTAACCTCTTTCAGATAGAATATTATGTTTTGCACCTTTGTCTGAATTTTTTTATCATTTATTCATTGTACCAAGGCAAGATGTCGGATAATGGTTTCAGAGAAAGCGAAAGGGAGCAGTCATCTGATTCTTCGTCATACAAGGTATGGAGTTGTTCACTATGATTTTGCAATGAGAAGGTTGGGACAACTACTTTGCTCAATGATAATGAGAAATTACCATATGATAAGTAGCTGTTCGCATGACCAGAAAATGGAGGCTAATATAAATGTTTCCTTGCTCTAATGTTTATTGATTGTTATTCGAATCTACATGTTACATTACTTTTGCTACTCTAACAATAATAACACCTATTTTAGTCCTGAACTCTAAAGGGGCAGATTGGGTACAAACCTAAAGTAAGACATTATTTGCACAACATGGTTGTCCTCATGTTCAAACTCAAGTCACTGGCCCACACATATAAACTACTAAACTAGTCTCCCTTGTTGATTTGCCGTACACAGATACGGATACGAGATATGGATATAATACGATATGGATGTAGCGATACAAGAAAATCTAAAAAATATGGCTGGCATACGCCAAAAGTGAATATATTTTATTTTTTACTCTGGCAACGTCATAATTATAGTTTTCAACAAGTTCTATACCAAAAATACGAAAATTAGTAATTTNAGTCTAAAAAATATGGCTGGCATACGCCAAAAGTGAATATATTTTATTTTTTACTCTGGCAATGTCATAATTATAGTTTTCAACAAGTTCTATACCAAAAATACGAAAATTAGTAATTTTACTTTCACAAAAGTATAGATTGTCTCATTACAGGGTATCCAAAACATGAGCATGAATAATTAAAGGAATCAAAACAAACAGGTAACTAATTGGTTTGCTTACAAGTATAGTTTGCCAAGAGATATGGGGTAGTTAACTCATTATAAGCTCGTTTGACATTCAACAGTAGATAATATTTAAGAAACACCTATGTGCCTTTAAAGTCATGCTTTTCTTTTGTGTTGCATAGTACGTGAATTAGAGTAGAGAGAGTAAAGATAAAAAATAAAAAATTCTACATATCGCTCCACTTATTCACTTTCAAATCCAAAGAGTTTCATTTTGGTTTTGTATCTACGAGTTATTTTATTTATTATTAGATATGTATAGTGTGTATGAGACACATCTTATCTTTGAATATCTGATGAGTATTATATCTGATATGGTATCAAATAAAGATACGTTGGACTTAACGGACTATCTGTAATTTATAGATTTTTCCGCTGATACCTCTATTTATATTTGGCTGAAATACTGGTATATTTTCTCTCTTTTTAAGCTTTTTCAATAGTTGGTTGCTAACGTATAGTGTGTGCATGTTGATAGTCTTTTCATGAGAATCCACATATGGAGTGTTAAAAAAAGGTTGCATCCTATTTGTCTGATTAAGCTTTCAGAGGAATTGGTTATAAACGACTAATTAGATGAAATGTTGTTACAATTACAGTTTGAGCAATTGTTTTGCAGCATTTTGAGTGAATAATTAAACAAATACTTCTCCGATTCTCCCCATGGGAGGGGGTATCATTAGTATTTCGCTCACAATCTGATAATAAGTTGTCTACAAAAGTTATAACTAACCCCCCCTTCATATTTAGGTTGATCCTGGAATACCAGCTTCACTGGCTTGGCAGCGCAAACTAAACTATACACCAAATACTCCTTCACAGTTCGCATTAACATATCGTGACATCATACAAATGGTATGTATGTAACTGAATATGGTGCATTTTTCATTTGTTTACTTTGTGCTATAAGCTCTAATTAGTCTGTCCATACAAGAACTTTAAAATTTAAATGACAAAAAGTTGCGTTGTAAAAAGCTACTAAATCATGAAATGAATAGTGAGTACTCGATTATTTTTATGACAAATACATAATGAAGAATAACCTGGATGCATAATCAATCCAGTGGGGACATGAATTCTTGTTAAATTTGCAGAGTAGGCGGTTCTGAACAAACTTCAACCAAGAGTTTGACCAGTCAAAGAGTCGAATGAACGTATAAGTTTATTTTACTATCTATTTTGTAGACCATTTGTCACATTAGAAAGCTCATTTTGCTGTGGGTATGGTTGAATCCTCCTCTAGCAGCAGGGAAATATTTTTATCGGGCCAGTAGGCTAGTAGCATCATTGATTTATGCTACTGGCTCTATTTGATTATTGATAACTAATTTTTTTAGATGAGAATATGAGCAACTATGACCAAATGTTATATCAATAGCCTTTTTAGAGACAATCTGCACTTTTATGACTTCTCAGAAGTTGCTGCTTTTGCTACTTAGCTCCTGTTCCCACTCTTGCTTTGCTCTGGTTATCATCCCTGACTCAGGGATTGACTTATGCGGTGACATGTATTATATCAATTACAGAGATCAGATTGAATAAATTTCTATCCAGCCAAAATGTAGTTTGGCATAGGTAATCACACTTTCAAATGGTTAAGAGGATGCAAGAGAAAACATATCAGTGATTCTCCACTAGAAGAAATTTCTCTGTAAATTATTGATTGAGTTGTTGGTGGTGACAGTTGTGACACTGTTGATTGCAGCACGGATGATGGTAGGTGGTGATGGCAGCAATGGCAGCCCTGGTGGTGTCTCCCACCAAGAGTCCTATGTAGAGTTTCAAAAAGTTTGGAATTCAATTTTATCATTCTTTAAGCGAAAAATCATTGTTTGAAATTTGCAGTCAAAAATTTTAATGACCGGGAGTCTTAATTCTAATTGTTCTTCCTTGATTAATGAAATTAAGATAAAACACTCAAATGTAGACAAAGATGTAAAAAGGATACGGACACTTGAATGATCTGCTATACCTATGAATGGTGTCCCTCACGGCTACATCAAACCAATTCTGTGGAACATACTTCACAACCTTGAAAGTTTTTTAGCTGCATCTATTTGAGGATGGCCTATTCACATATCTATGTAGAGTCTCGTTTATCTAGATTATTTCATGGTATTAGACTTGTTGTAAGTCTTGTTTGCCTTCGAAGTTTACAACTAGTAAGATTTGTTGGGAAAGACTGTGAATAACAAATAACCTAAATAAGGCAGCCACAGTGAAGCAGATATTATGTAGAAAATCATAAGGGGAAATTATAGTAGGATTCCAACTTCCACAATAAAAATAATGGGATCATCAATAATAAACGCTCAAAAAGTTCATAGATCTGGGATACATTGTGTTCTTGGGAGTACATCTCCTCAAGAGAGTCTCATATTTTTTTAGCTGTATCAAGAAGTTGAACATTAGTTGCCATAGATGGTTCAAGCCACAATGATGCAAGGAAGCAAGTAGAATAAGTGTGTATAATGAACGAAAGGGGATAGTGAAACTATACCGTTGATTTGCACTCAAATACGGGTTTAGAATCCTACTCTAGGCTTGTTGATTCCGCAACATACTAGTTCTAAAAGCTTCAATCGATCTGTTGAATTCAAAAAAAAGAGACAACTCTTTCAATATTGTATTAATTCATCAAAAACTGCTTTTACCCTATAGCTTACAAGGCTAAAGCAACTAGGAAACTAGAATTCTAAATAAATTAGGAAACCAAATAAAATAAAATCTTAATTAAACTATAAAATAAAAATAAAATAAATTCCTAATTAAATTAAGATATAAAATAAAATGTTATAGAATTTCCTAGCTGAACGGGATTGACCACATTCAAATAAAATATCTAAATTTGCGCCACTCATTTTGCATCATCTTCCCCAAGTTGGAAGGAATTCACCCTCGAATTCATTTTGATATTTGAGTCTTCACTTGAACTTAGGCTTCTGACCGGCCAATTGAATCTAATTTTTATAATTTAGTCTGTGTTTGAGGTTTGGCTTTCGACCACCCCAAATTTTGGACCATTTTAATACTACATCAATTCCACTCATACTAGCACGTAGCGAAAATACAAAACCAATCCAACTGGTGACCACATGTCTTGGCCATATCCACGGTTTTCCACTCTCATAACTTGCTATGTTAAAGATCATAGAATCAATTCCACTCAATGATTATTCCTCGGTAAATCAGAATAGGAAGTATTTTTTTTCACAAAATCTTCAACCTCCGTGTTCGAAGGGCTCCCTTTATTTTTTCCTTTTATGACCTCAAACTCAACAAATAAAGTATTAATTTCACAAAATTCAAGGAACACTTGTTGCCTTGTTGAAAGTTTTACAAGTTGCTTACCCATTTGGCTGCTCCTCCACACCTTCATAGATTGTCTTACACCAATACATCCATATTTACATCCAAGGGTTTTTGGTTCAAAACCTTTTATTGAAAACATATTGAGCAGCCATAGACAATAGATTGCTAGTGTGTGCAACTTAGGACCAAACTCTTTATCAGAAGGCTCTTTAAATTCCATGTTATTTTCTACTCTCTCCAGGCCCCCCAAATCTGCGATTGTGATTAGGAAACCATCCTTCGAATATTCATCGTTTATCAAAAAATCATAATCATTTTTAATAATGACCGAAGAATCATCATTTGGGTATTCATTGAATATTGAAAAAACACAATCATCCTTGTTAATGATTAGAGAATAATCTTCCAAATATTCATCAAATTTTGGGATATCAAAATCATCTTGAGCACCAATTAAAAAGTCATCATTGGGATAGTCATCAAATATTGGGGGTAAATCCCAATCAATTATAGACTATGAAGAAGATGAATACGCATCAAAAAATACCTTATTCGACTCCATATCGAATACTTGAATATCCTCTGGGATCACAGTTGCAATAACTTTTTTGTTGTAATGACCTTTTCTCGGTCTTCCATCCTTGTGTANAGTCATCATCGGGATAGTCATCAAATATTGGGGGTAAATCCCAATCAATTATAGACTATGAAGAAGATGAATATGCATCAAAAAATACCTTATTCGACTCCATATCGAATACTTGAATATCCTCTGGGATCACAGTTGCAATAACTTTTTTGTTGTAATGACCTTTTCTCGGTCTTCCATCCTTGTGTATCTTTGATTGCAGATACTCTATAAGAAATTCAATAGGATCGATTTTGCTCTGGGATGTGGAAACAATTGAGGAAACCCATTTGCTCACAAAACGAAATGGGATATGGTTGGCACGTTGATAAACATCCCTGAATTTATGGACCTGAATAATCAACGCATTAATTGCTTGTTCTAATAGATTCACCTCACCACGTACCGGTANTTTATAAGAAATTCAATAGGATCGATTTTGCTCTGGGATGTGGAAACGATTGAGGAAACCCATTTGCTCACAAAACAAAATGGGATATGGTTGGCACGTTGATAAACATCCCTGAATTTATGGACCTAAATAATCAACGCATTAATTGCTTGTTCTAATAGATTCACCTCACCACGTACCGGTAGGTTGTTAACAGATGTGTTCTGACCACCAAGACTTCTCTCAAGTGACATGCTGCTTGGAAAGATCGCAAGCTCTGATACCAATTGATGCAGGTAAGAATAAGTGTGTATAATTTGTGAAAGGGGATAGTGAAATTATATAGTTGATTTACGCATAAATACCGGTTTAGAATCCTACTCTAGGCTTGTTGATTCCACAGAATACCAGTTCTAAAAGCTTTAATTGATCTGTTAATTCCTAAGAATATCAGAATAATTGGAAAGAAAAAAGACAACTGATAGAAATCGGATTATATTTCGTTATAGTAGGCGTAGGCGTAGGCGTAGGCGTAAGGATTAGGAGTTATTTGTCATTATGCTTTTCAGGAGTTTAGTTGTCATTTTGACTATTTATNAAGAATCGAATTATATTTCGTTATAGTAGGCATAGGCGTAGGCGTAAGGATTAGGATTTATTTGTCATTATGCTTTTCAGGAGTTTAGTTGTCATTTTGACTATTTATTTCTTTTAGAGTTCTTTTAGGATTTGTGGTCTCCCTATATATATANGAAAAAAGACAACTGATAGAAATCGGATTATATTTCGTTATAGTAGGCGTAGGCGTAGGCGTAGGCGTAAGGATTAGGAGTTATTTGTCATTATGCTTTTCAGGAGTTTAGTTGTCATTTTGACTATTTATTTCTTTTAGAGTTCTTTTAGGATTTGTGGTCTACTTATATATATAGGAGATNGAAGATATGTTATTTGTTTTGGTAGACTTTGATTATTGATATTGAATTTTCTTTCTAAAATTCTCTCTCTATTCTCATCCCCTNTACTTATATATATAGGAGATATGTTATTTGTTTTGGTAGATTTTGATTATTGATATTGAATTTTCTTTCTAAAATTCTCTCTCTATTCTCATCCCCTGTTTCTTCTTTTCTCATCCCTTTCTTTTTTCCTTCTCATCCCTAATTCTTTCCTAATATGATCTACATCAACAACTTTCTCAATGCTGTATTAATTCATCAAAGGCTGCTTTTGTCCTAAGGCTTACAAGGCTTTAAATAGTAGTAAAAACCCTAAAATAACTAGGAAACTAGAATCCTAAATAAATTAGGAAATCGAATAAGATAAAATCCTAAATGAATCAAAAAATAAAAATAACATAATTTCCTAATTACCTAATTAAACTTTTTGCTACTCATTTTTCATCACAACTAAGTTATCACCAATGAATTCTCATTTTTCGACCGGTCTTCAGAACCTTTGGACTTATCAANAATTTTTGCCACTCATTTTCCATCACAACTAAGTTATCACCAATGAATTCTCATTTTTCGACCGGTCTTCAGAACCNACTTTTTGCTACTCATTTTTCATCACAACTAAGTTATCACCAATGAATTCTCATTTTTCGACCGGTCTTCAGAACCTTTGGACTTATCAAGAGAAGAACTTCTAATCAAATACTTGACTTTTCTTTTAGTACGCAAAAAAACTNCCTTTGGACTTATCAAGAGAAGAACTTCTAATCAAATACTTGACTTTTCTTTTAGCACGCAAAAAAACTTTAATAGTATGGGACCAAGAATAATAGTTGATTCCATTTAACTTCAAAAAAGTAATCAGTCTAATTTGATCATTCACAGAATAGACCTGTCGAATGGAGTCATCCATAAACGTATCCTATACTTCCTCAAAAGTTGCCATAGTAAAACCCTCGATCAACTAGGCAATAAATGAGTATAAGAGAA